GGCGTTTTTTTGGTGTAAGCCAGACTTTGGTATTTTTGTCACAGCAGCCCAAACAGTCAAGGATGGTTAACAAGCACAGAAGGCAAGCAGCACGCGCAACAAGTTCCACGCTTGGTGTGATTGACCATGTAACCTTGGTCAAGTTTGAGCTTTGTTGGTTTACTTTCCTTATTCTTAAAGTGCCAAGATCTTCCCTGCCTCTTGGTCAGAACTTTTAATAAGATCATGTGTGGCTGGGTATGAAAGTTAATGTCAAAAAAACTTTAAATGTGACATTAAGTATACTCGATGGTGACCATCTTCTGTCCCCAAGCATATCAGTATACACTGAGTGAACAGGCGGTGACAGAGGAGTGGAGGAATCAGGTCACCTGACGTAGGGCCCTTCTCACTCTTACGTTCTAGAATTTTTTTGATCCTGTGTCTTTAAATTTTTCCATTTACAATCACAGATGGAATAAAGTCAGTCACGAGAATAGTCGCTTAGCAAATGTTGATTGCATTCAGTGGAATTTTTTTTCAGGATTTCACTCCATAAGATAACCCCTCTTTTAACAAGGAGGATTCATTTCTTAATATTTCAAGTGTCAGAATCTATATAGTTTCTGGCACGATACTAAGGAAATAAAATATAGAAGTCATAGGGATGCATTTTAGGGCATCACAGTAGGGAGATGTGGTGTAAGAAACCAGTGAACTTTCAACTACATTTTGTGTTAAATAATATAAAATATATAAAATGTGTATCTTTTGTGTTTTCTCCTGGTTTCTATTCTAAAATCTGGTGTTATCTTTGCAGAAAAAACATTTTTCTCTGAAAGAATGAAGAGTGGAAGAATTCCTTAGTAAGGCATAAAATACCCTTTCCCACTTCCCAAGTTCTTGATGGCATCCTAAACCTTTTCACTCACCTTCCCAAACCCCCAACATGATGTATTCCCTGACCAGGCCCCAGCTGCATGCACTGAGCCCTTTACTTTCTCTTCTCTGCCTGGGATTTCTCTCATTCTCCCTTTTCTGCTTGATAAATTGCTGCCCATTAAGGCCTCAGCTTACATTTATGATTTTACCCTAGCCCAGTGGGAATTCTTTCTTTCTTTCTTTCTTTCTTTTTTTTAAACATTATCAGTTCTTTAATTAGGTTCTTTCAAAGAAATTTAGAACACTAATTTGTGAGGATAAACACCATCAGTCAGGGCAAACCCAAATCGCAGGTAGCCCTGGAGCTGAGGAATAGCTTTGATTTTTGGTAAGATGTGCGAGTCCACAGCTTTCTGATCAATCTTGTGCTGCTCTGTAATCTCATATTTCTCTTTTTCTGTGTCAAAGATCTCACCCTCCTGGTGCCTGGGCTTCCGCAGCTGCTGCTTCTTGAAGTAAGCATCAGTAAGATGTTTTGGGACCTTCACATTGCTGATGTCAATTTTTGTGGAGGTGGCAATGACATATTTCTGGTGTGTTCTTCTCAGAGGAACTCGATTGAGGACCAGAGGTCCAGTCACAAGTAACAAGCCACTGCCCAGTTGCTTCAGGAAAACCACCCTCTTGCATCTGTGGCGCCCAGTGAGAATGATCAGGATGGTCCAGGGAGTGATACTGGCTCGCAGTTTTCTAACGTGCTGGCTGAAGGGCTTTTTCCCATGGCTTAACAGCTTTTGAGGCACATCTTCAGTTGGATAATATCTAGGCATTTTGCGAAGTTTAACCACTCGAGTACCACCATTCTTGTCACCACCAACTGGTTTTGTAACGGTTGCAAGAACCTTCTCCTTTTTTTTCTTTTCAACCTTGGATTTAGCTGCTGAGTACTTCCTCTTGTACAAGGCCTTTCTGGAATACATAGCAGATCGGGAATATCTTCCAATTCCTCTAACAAGGACAGTATTTCGGCTGCAGTGGGGTTTCCCCTTCTTCGGCTTTTTAGCCTTGAGCTTACCCTTTTTCACCTTGCGGCCAGCATCAGCCTTCTTGGCTTTAGGTTTCTTCTCCTTAGCATTTGGCTTCTCAACCTTTTCACCTGCCATCTTGCAGGGTGGGAAAGAGCCGGAATTATTTCCTTATCAGTATTCTAGTAAAAACATTTAGAAGTAAGTAAGCTTCTATAAGACAACATTCTGTAAGGTGCTGCTTGCCGTCTTTTGACCTCTCTGTGAGTTCAGCAATCTTTTTGAGGGTCAAATACAGTCCTCTGAAGTATCTGTATTTGACAGGATTTATGAAAACAGCAAAAGCATTTGTTGAGAAAGTCTGAAGCCTCACTCTGAAATGTGGGCCATCGTGTTTACTGTATATCAGCTGGTGCAGTCGATACAGTGGCTGTTATTATGAGGGCTCTGGGATCAGCTAGTCCAGGGCTCAGATTTTCATCAGATTGTGTGCTTGGGCAAGTTATTTAATGCCTGGAAGCCTCAGTGTAAAGTAGGAATTGTAAGCACTGCCCAATAACTTAGCACAAATATTAAATTCATCCAATTAATATTGCTGAAGTGTGAGGCATTGTTCATTGGACTAGAGATACAGTGTGAACAAGACTGATGGGGTCCCTCACTGTATTCTTAAAACTCTTCCTGCAGTAATAGGTCAGCATGTGTCGTGTAGGTGAATGAGGAATAAAAAATAATAAGCAAATGATAAACAGGGTAATTTTAAAAAGTGGAAAAAGCTACTAACAAAAACATTTGCCCCCCCCCTTTTTTTTTGAGTTGGAGTCTCACTCTGTCACCCAGACTGGAGTGCAGTGTCCGCTCCAGGCCACCACAGCCTCGACCTGCTGGGCTCCAGAGATCCTTCCACCTCTGCCTTCCGAGTAGCCGGAATTACAGGCGCGCACTACCACGCCTGGCTGATGTTTTGATTTTTTTATTGTAGAGATGAGGTCTTGCTGCCCAGGCGGGTCTCGAACCCGCGGACTCAGGCAATCCACTCACCTCAGCCTCCCAAGGCCCGGGATTACAGGCTGAGCCACCGAACCCGGCTAAAAACATTTGCCCTTTATTAGATGAAACTGTCAATGGTTCTCTCTCTCCTATTAATTCTGTAAGATGCTGTCAGCCTGTTTTCCTTCTCCCCCGGCTGTGACTTGTCTTTTCTGCTGGGCTCTATAGACTTTTTCTAACCAGAGTGCGATGACACACTCACAGTAACACACTTGCAGCCTTGACCTGCTGGGCTCAGGTGATTCTTACGCCTCAGCCTCTCAAGTAGCTGGAACCATAGGTGTGTGCCACCATGCTCGGCTAATTTATTTATTTATTTATTATAGAAACGAGGTCTTGCCAAGTTGCCCAGGCTGGTCTCGAACCCTGAACTCAGGCAGTCCTCACGCTTCTGCCTCCCAAAGTGCTGGGATTGCAGGAGTGAGCCACCTCACCAGGCTTATCTTTGAGGATGCTTTGCCACTGCCTGCCTTCTCTGCAGAGTCCAGGGAAGAACCCTCTTTTGTGGGGGAATTCATTCTTGATTGGGCCTCCACACATCTTGTGAAACAGCACTGGACGTTTGCCATTGCTCAGCAGCTCTGGGGTGAAGTGTTTGTTGCGAAGCCCACAGTAGTACTTACGACTCCCACGCTGCAACAGCTCCTGAAGGGAGACCCAGGAGGGTTTCAGGGACACACCTTGGTCTTCTTTATGTTCCCAGAGTTTGACACAATGAGTAGTGTAGAGCAAGAGCTAACAGAGAATGGCCGGTGTACATTTTCTTTATACATTTTAATATTCGCTATCTAGAAAAAGAAATTATGTAAGAAGTGGGAAGTTTGCTTTTTTTTTTTTTTTTTTAAGTGGAGGTCTCACTCTGTTGCCCAAGCTGGAATGCAGTGGCATGGTGACGGCTCACCACAGCGTCAATCTCCCAGATTCAAATGATCCCTCTGCCTCAGTCTCCCCAGTAGCTGGGACTACAGGCACGCACCACCACGCCTGAGTGTTTTTGATTTTTTGTAGAGATGAGGTCGTGCTATAGTTGTCTAGGCTGGTCTCCAACAATCGTCTTGCTTCGGCCTCCCACGGTGCTGGGATGACAGGTGTGAGCCACCATGTGTGACTGGAAGTGGGGAGTATTTATTGTGAAATTGCATCCCCATTTCCAGTGGAGCAGGGCGAGGGAACTAGAAATATGTATGGGAAGCCAGGGCCCTCTGTGGCTCTGGAGGGTGGGGATTAAGAAGAAGCCAGGGGTTTATGAGTATCCTGACTTCTCTCTGGGACCCAAGATGACTTAATGCTTGCCCATTTTGAGACCATCTTCTCAAGTGTGCCACTCACAGTTGGAAGGATAGAGCAGCTTGCCTGGGAGCCATTGTAATTGTTGGATGAAAATAAAAGATGATAGTTGAACGCGGTGGCTCACACCTGTAATCCCAGCATTTTAGGAGACGAAGATGAGAGGATTGCCTGAGCCTAGGGGTTCTAGACCAGCCTGGGCAACTTGGTGAGACCTCATCTCTACAATAAATTAAAAAAATATATTAACTGGGTGTGGAGGGTGCGCCTGGGGTTCCAGCTACTTGGAAACCTGAGGCAGAAGGATCACTTGAGCCCAAGAGGTCAAGGATGCAGTAGCCATGATTGTGGCACTGCACTCCAGCCTGGGCGACAGAGTGAGACACCGACAAAAAAAAAAAAAGATGAAAAACTGGGGTTTCGGGGTGGAGGGGTCACAGAAGGAAAGGCCTATGTAGGCAGATTTTCAGGGGTTCCCAGTCTTCACTACAGCAGTCCTCCAGTGGCTCAACCTTAGAAGAGGCTTCCTAGACAGGTGTGGCCAAACACGTTTAAAAAAAAACGTTGGCTGCCTCCTCCACCAGTCACTTCCAGTGTAACAGCCCACATCCCAACACCGGCCCACCTACTTTTCTCTAAAAGGAATCTCTGCTTTTGGACAGCCTTGTGCTGGGGTCTTTCCAGAAGTTTCTAGGGGAAGAGGAGTGAGTCGTATGTTCTGGGCTCCTCCTGGCATGGGCACCAGGACATCTTACCTGGGGGTGCAGCAGGAACTCCATGGCCTCTCCGCATGTTCACGAGGACAGCCCCACCCAGATCCGGGTCCTGCATGCAACTCTGCCCTGGAGCCCTTACAATGAGCCATATCCTTCCAGCGCTTTGGCCGGTGGACATGCGTTGTGTGTGACTCCGGGGAGGCCGTGTCTAAGGTCTCTTCCCACTAGACGAGTGGTAGACAGAGGTCCCCTTTGTCCCTCATACTCTTACCCCTGGGGACTTACAGGACTGCAGTGTGGACCACCCCTGCCGTGGAGACATGCCAGATGGCCTCTCTCTATGGAGATGTCTCAGTACCGGGACCATGATGAGGTCAGACCCTGGCTGTTTTGAGCATCAGAAAGGCCCCGCAGCATCTAGGGTTGTTCAGTCTCTGGGACTTTTTGCGTCTGTGATCAGAGATGTTGGGGCTGGGCGCCATAGAGAGGCACTGGGCAGAGAGGGGTGAAGCCAAATTTACTCGTTCCCATGCTTGACTCGGGCCCGCTGTAGTGTTCAGGCAGTTGACAGCGTTATTGTTTATTAAGAGTGACCCAACAGAGCTAACACTTTTCTCTGGCATTGTCCTCAGTTTTCTCCCTGACTATCAACAAACCTCCAGCTTCAGGTTGTTCTCAAGATGCTGGCCTCAGCCTCCTTTTGGGTCACCTTGCTCAATGTAGCTTACCTGTCATTTGCTGCCTATGCGGACATCTGGGCTGAAGACACTCCCCACTCAGTTTGGGAAGCTGGGATTGGCACTCTCTGTGTGTTGAGGAGTGGGATGGTGGAGATTCTCTAATGTCATGTTTCGGTTTCTGTTGTGGAAGGTGGGCTGTCTCGCTTGTATTCTTGGGGCTTCCCCAGTGTGAGGCTTGCCTTAATCATCAGACCTTACTTACCGCTACGGAACGTGGACATCACTTCCCTTGTGAACCTCTTTCCCAGCAGGCTAGAGCACAGACTCCTTCTCCATGTGTGATGCCTTGTGCATGTTTTCATTGCTGTATTTCAAAGTTATTTTCTATTTGGAGGTTATTATTGTGCTAAATTATTACTTTCCAATTACATTTGTTCTTTGGACCATGAGTATAAGGGCTATTGAATTCATTTCAGATAATTGGTCCTTGGTGCTAAAAACTGTTGGTTGAGTGCTGTTATGTTAAGATTTAGTTAAATCCTTCCTGCTAGCCGTGGGAGCTTTGAAAGTCTTTTGTTTTGTTTTGTTTTGTTTTGAGTTGGAGTCTCACTCTGTCACCCAGACTGGAGTGTAGCGGCCGCTCCCGGCCACCGCAGCCTCGACCTGCTGGGCTCCGGCGATCCTTCCGCCTCAGGCTTCCGAGTAGCCGGAATTACAGGTATGCGCTATTATGCCCGGCTGATTTTTTTTTAATTTATTGTAGAGATGAGGTCTCGCTGCCCAGGCGGGTCTCGAACCCGCGGGCTCAGGCAATCCACTCACCTCAGCCTCCCAAAGGCGCGGGATGACAGGCTGAGCCGCCGAGCCCGGCTCTTTTTTTTTTTTGATGTGCTGTAATAATAATTGTTCTTTTTTTTAAATTGTAGAGATGTGGGGTACAAGTGAGGATTAACTACATAAGTAGGCTGCACGCAGGTGAAGTTTGGACTTCCAACTGGTCCTCTCTCCCTCCCCCCGTCCCAGTAGTGCCCAGCGACTGCTGGCCCCTCCCTTGTGCTCTGGGCCTATTCTTGGCCATCTTTAAGCATCCATTCCATCATCCAACAGTTCTATTTTGAGCACATTCTATATTCCAAGCCTGACATCCTGGTTTCCTCATCTGTGATATCAGAGGCCTGTGGACCAGACCAGTCCAAAATGTTGTTTCTGCAAAGTTCCCTTGGGCTTTTTAATTCCTAAAAATACCCACAAAACCCTGAAGTTGTTTCTGGTTGTTGTTTAAAGTTAAATGCTCTTCTTGCTTAAAGCCACTCTTTTATTTAGATTGCAAAGTGACTTGTAATTGATTATTTGACACAAACTGAGATTTTGGATTGTGCCATAAACAAGTTCAATCCCTTGAATCACAGTTTTTCCTGATGAAAACATCATTTTTTTGCAAATCCATTTTAAGTGATGGTGTGAGCCATATCAAAGCTTTGCACACCCGGTGATGCCCAATGAGGGCTCACGTACCAAAACAAGGGAGAGGCATCCCTGAAGTGCTCTTCTCAGTCACATGGAGGAGCACTGTTGTGGCTTTTCCTCAGGTGACAGTCACATCTCTAGGAAGTTCTGACATGAGGTCTTTTCCCACGTCTCTACCTTCCCTGGTAGGAACATTTGTTTATATAGGCAGAATTCAATTGATTGGAAATAGAAATGGTGCTTACATTGTGTGGTATTAAAATGCAAATGAGAAAATGTTTTATTGTGATAACCATCTAGTAGGTTTTTTTGAATGGTGTTTTGTTTTGCTTTTTACTGTGAAACTGGGAAACTGAATATGCAAACGGATAATGGTCAGGCCATAAATAAAAATAGAATTTTGACCCACAACCTACAGTAACCTGCCAGAAAACTAGCCCCTAATCTGCAATAAACAGACCAGGCAACCAGCCTGTTCTGTCAGACTTGCAGGAAGTCCAGCTCCTCTCTCTAGTGGCAACACAGGCAGCTAAGCAGTCACTTCTGGAACAATCGGCCCCAAATAACTGACAGTCTCCCTAATTTTTTCCCTCACTTCCAACTAGGACCAACCAGAGAAAGGTAAATATGCGCCCCATGCAGTCACATAGGATTCCCCTGGTCAGACCACCCACTCCTCCCCAGCCAGCAACCTCCAGGTGGGAAACATCTGAAGCTTCCTTTTATTCCTCCATAAAGCTTTCTCTCTCTTCTGCCTGCCTTTGAGGCTGCCAGAACACAAACGAGGGTGGCCGACTCCATTGCTAGAGAAAACTCAGGCTTTTGTTTTTCTCATTTGGTTGGTCTTCATTTATTTCTACAGAGGACTGTATAAGAAAATTCAAAATGGGAACCCTAGTTCGTTCATATGCCAGTGGTTCCCTTTTATCTATGGAGGATATGGTCCAAGACCCCCACTGGATGCCTGAAACCATGGATAGCATTGAACCCTGTACATAATATATATGAGAGTGCCAAAAAAAGTACACACATTTTTAAGTTTGATGTTCACTCAAAAGGTGGTGTTCATCAAATGAATGCTAGTGTCACCACGCGACGGGAAGGACAGTCAACAAAAATGGAGGAAGCGCGGTTGAGTGAACATCATACTACACATTGCTACTGTAATTTAATTCCACTTCGAAAAGTAATACACAGATAACATCTTTTAAAATGGGTATATATTTTTTGTACCCCCGTATATATATATAATATATATATATCTGATAACTAATATGGCTACAGATAACTAATAGGCAAGCAGTGTCACAGTGTGGATACACTGGATGAAGGGACATTCATCTCCTAGACAGGATGGAGTGGGATATTGTGAGAGTTCGTCATGTTGCTTAGAATGCTGTGCAATTTAAAACCTATAGATTTTTTCTAGAGTTTTCCATTTACTGTTTTCTGACTGTGGTGGACGATGAGTCATTGAAACTGTGGAGAGTGAAACTGCAGCCAAGGGGACTCCTGTGCCGTGAAGTCAAATTACAGGCAGTTGTAACTTCAGGGGTCTTTGCTACCCATAAGAAAGGTTGCAGCAGCACAGGTAAAAAAATAGACCTGTTCAGAGATAGCGTCAGGGATGTGCTTGAACTTGTGATTTCCAAAATGACAGTGACACTGTGCCCCAGAGAATTCAGAAACCAATGAATTCCAAATTCTTGAGTTTGCAGGATGACAGATAAAACAACTTGCTGAAACACTGAAACTTTTTCCACTTATGAGATAACAACGCTGGCTACAATCAGTTGGAACCAATATGGCCAACTGGAGAATGAGCTTGGTGATGTCCCAGCCAAGTTGCCACTGCATATGTGATGTTAACTTCCCCCACATTTGCACATGTGATCTGTGAGGTAGCACGAGGTGATTACAGTGCATGGCCAGGACTTTCTGACCCTCCCTTTTTCTTCCACCCATCACTTACCCGGTCCAGAATCCACCCCCTGAGCCTTTCCTAACAAAATCACTTCCTTAAAGCCGGCAGGGGAGACAGATTTTAGCTGGATTTCTGTCCCTGTGGGCCGACTTGTAATGAGAAGCTTTTCTCTTCTCAAAAACCCACTGTCATAGTATTGGCACATCCCTTTTACTGGGTAACAATTCCTGTTCACTGATATTTCCATTGCCCAAATACAAACCACGACAGATGACACTTCGGTACCTAAATGGGACCCCAGAATGCTATGACATTTTCTCTGGGATCATGCACGTCTTACTTAGTAGATGTTTTGAGTCATCAGAAAACAATTTCCAGGTGAAGAGTATGCTCGATCTAATTTGTAAAAGGAATTAAGTAGTCATAGTTACTTTTCAGTGGTGTCATACCAATGTGTTTGCTTTTGAAACTGTCAGTGGTAGTTGAAGGTATTTAAATCAAGGCTATGTAGGTTGCAGATAAGAGAATCCCACTCAGACTAGTTTAAACAAAAAAGACTAGCATTCTTTGTAGATACCCTTTATCAGACTAAGGAAGGGCCTCTCTGTTCCTAGTTTGCTGAGTTTTTAATCATTGAATGATGTTGAACCCATCAAATGTTTATTAAGATGATAATTTGATTTTTCTCTATTATTCTGTTAATGTAGTAAATTACAAAATTTCTTTTTTTGTTGTTGTTTTAATGTAAACTCAAAACCTGGTGTTATTAGAATACATCCATATTATATGTTATCTGTCTATTATACATACATATACATACACAGTAAAGCATCACTTAACAATGGGGATACCTTCTGAGAAATGTGTCATTAGGCAGTTTTATCTTTGTGCAAACATCATAGAGCGTACTTACACAGACCTAGATAGTGCAGCCTACTACCTAGACACCTGGGCTGTATGATATTGTCTGTTACTGCTAGGCTGCAGACCCATACATGATGTTACTCTGCTGAAAATTGCCAGCTATTATAACACAATGGTAAATATTTGTATTTATAAATTTTCTAAACATGGAAGAGGTACAATAAAAATATGGTATTATAATCTTATAAGATCACTGTCATGCGTGCGGTCTGTCATTGACCGAAATGTCATTATATGGCACGTGACTGTAGGTATAATGGATAATTTATTTTATTCATTGTTAGATTTGATTTGCTAATATTTTATTTGGGACTTTTGCATCGATTGCGCAGGTGACATTGCTTGCAATTTTCCTTTTTTGATGATATTTCTGTTAGGTTTTAGAATCAAGAATATATCTACTTCACAAGATGGGTTGGGAAATATCTTACCTTTTCAGATCTCTGGAAAATGGGTTTCATTCTTAAAAGTTTAGTAGACATTACTGTTAAAACCTTGTGGGCCTGGATTTTTCTTCATGGAAGTGTTTTAAAATTATAGATTAAATTTCCTTAATACTTACAGGACTACTCTGTAGTCTTATGTCAATTTTTAATAAGTTGCTTTCATAAACATTTATCTACTTTATCTCGTTTTTATGTTTTTGATGTATGACTTTTAATAATATTGTCTATAGTATCTAGCGATTTTCATCTTTTCTTTCTGATATTGGTTATTTGCCAATTTCAAGAATTTACCAGTTTTATTAGTCTTTTCAAAAAGCCATCTTTTGACTTTGTTGATCCTCCCAGTGGTGTGTTTTAGTTTTCATTACTTTTTGCTCTTTATTTCTTTCAACTTTTTTACTTATTTTTTTTTCCTTGAGATTGAGGTAAGCCTCAATGATTGATCACTGATTTCTAGTCTTTCTTCTTTTCTAATTATGCATTTGAAACCATAAGTCTTCCTCTAAGTGCAGCTTTAGCTGAGATCATAAGTTTTGGATCTGTTGCTGAGCTTGGAGGTCTGACTGTTACTCCATTCTGCCACAGTGTGGTATTGTTTACCCAGAAGAGTGGGACATCAGAACAACAGGATTTGTGGGCTCCTAGTGGGTGATTGTGAATGTCTTAATAGGCAGCAAGGTTATGTTTTGGGTGGTGGTAGGAGAGAGTTTACATGTAATATCAAATTTCATAAGGTCTTATTTCTTTCTCAAAAGCAATGATTTCTGTTAATAGAAGTAGACAAGGCCGGGTGTGGTGGCTCACGCCTGTTATCCCAGTGCTTTGGGAAGTGGAGGTGAGAAGATTGCCTGATTCCAGGAGTTCAAGACCAGCCTGGGCAACTTGGTGAGACCTCGTCTCTACAGTAAATAAAAAAATGAACTGAGCGTGGTGGTGCGCACCTGTAGTTCCAACTACTTGAAAGGCTGAGGTGGAAGGATCACCTGAGCCCTGCAGGTCGAGGCTGCTATGGCTGTGAACATGCCACTGCACTCCAGCCTGGATGACAGAATGAGGCTCCAACTCAAAAAAAAAAAAAAAAAAGTAGATAGTTTGATATAACAGCTTTTTATAAGGATCATATTTAGGAAAATATTTAATTTTGGAAATCAAAGAGAAAAATACTATTTTAGATATTTAACTACTATGCTAGGTATGTATTTGTCTTCTATCTTGGGGTTTATAAAGTATGTGTAAAGAAATTTGGGGTGTGATTATGTTAGCCTTAGAAACAGCATGTTTTATAAAAATCAATGCATCATTTTTCCAATTGAAAATTTAACACGCCGGGCTCGGTGGCTCAGCCTGTAATTCCACGCCTTTGGGAGGCTGAGGTGAGTGGATTGCCTGAGCCCGCGGGTTCGAGACCCACCTGGGGCAGCGAGACCTCATCTCTACAATAAATCAAAAAATCAGCGGGGCGTGGTAGCGCATGCCTGTAATTCCGGCTACTTGGAAAGCTGAGGCGGAAGAATCGCCGGAGCCCAGCAGGTCGAGGCTGCGGTGGCCGGGAGCGGCCACTGCACGCCAGTCTGGGTGACAGAGAGAAATTCCAATTCAAAAAAAAAAAAAGAAAATTTAACACAAGAGCTGTAATCTTTTTGCGGTGATTTAGTCATTTTTGTTGCAGATCTTTGCAATATGAATAATGATATATCTGGCTAAAAATTGATTCTTTCATCTTCTAGGGGAGCAGCCCATCTACTTGAAATATATGCACAAGTAATTTCGTACTTTAGCCCATACTGGCAATAAAATATCTCTCTCTTTTTTTTGTAGAAAATTTTTACTACTGGAGATATCAACAAAGATGGGAAACTGGATTTTGAAGAATTTATGAAGTACCTTAAAGACCATGAGAAAAAAATGAAATTGGCATTTAAAAGTTTGGACAAAAATAATGATGGTGTGTCTTTCTTTTCTATTCATCACCAACTGTGAAGAAGCCTCCCATGCTTCCAAAGGTCTAAAAGAATGTGTGTTTAGTCCCTCTTTTTTAGATGATAATTATTGCTTGTGTTAATTTTTTTTTTTAGTAATGTGATTTTCATGTAGAGTCTGTCTTTTTTAGTGAAGAAAACTTACAGATAGCTTTTATTTTTCATTACTTTGAAATGTGATGAAATACATTGCTGAATTAAAAACTGTGGGTAAGGCCTGCTATAAAATGTTCACTGTGGACCATTACATTGATTTGACTTAAAGCTCTGTGTTGAAAATAGTAATTATGTTTTCTTGCCCTCTGGGTAAGAGATAATTTGTTTTTGTTCATATGTAGGCATAACATTGTACATTCTAAAATATTACATAACATTCTAAAATATTAAAAACAATTTAAAACTATTGTACATTCTAAAATCTTTTTAAACATTCAAATTTTATAATATTAAAAATTGTAAAATTTAGATTATCTTGCATTTGATAGTCTTTGCCAGAATTAATTTAGAGATGATACTCTGATCCTGAAAGTTGGAAAAACAGTAGCATATAAACAGTTAGATATGTACCTTTTGGTTGGAATTATGGCTTCTTTATTTAGATTAATAGCTTGGAGTTTATCTTAGTCTGTTTTGTGTTGCTGTAATAGAATACCATAGACTGTGTAATTTATAGAGAAAATAAATTTATTTCTTACGGTTCTGGAGGCTAGGAAATTCAAGGTTGAGGGCTAGATCTGCTAAGGCTCCTCTTACTGCATCATGACATTTTGGGATCACAGAGCATGTTTGCTACCTTAGATTCCTCTTCCCCATATAAAGCCACCAGTCCCATCATCAGGAGTCCCTTCCCTGGTGACCTTATCTAATCCTAGTTAGAAATGGAGTCATTAAGCCCTCCTCACTAGAGGTAACCTTTAATAAGAAGAGAGAATTCATAAAAATTATAATGCAACCTTAAGCTTCTATCTACTTAGGAATAGTCAGGGTCATCCTATTCTCAGACTTGTTACGCAGTTTATACAAATAGATGGACAGAAAATATGGATTATATGAGGAGTTGGCAAACATTGTTAGTAAAAGACCAGATAATAAATATCTTGGCTTTGTAGGCCAAGTGGTCTCACTTATAGCTACTCACCTCTGCCATGGAACCACAGAACAGCCGTGGGCAAAATGTAAATGAATGGGCATGGTTTTGGTTCAGTAAAACTTTATTTACACAGACAGTCAACAGGCCGTATGTGGGATATAGTTTGCCAGCCCCTGATTGATACTGAATATTAACTAAAGTTAAATTCAAAGCAAGTTTCTTCAAACAAACAACTAAACTCTTTGAAGGTTTTGATGGTCATTCAGCCAGGAAGAGCTGAGTTTGTGGTGGAAAGGAGTACTATTGGAATGTTTGTTGCCTCAAATAATCTTTACATCATATGCCCTCAAGTCTAGCGTTAGTCCAATCTTCCAGCAAAACTCAGTTCTTACAATCAGCTTTCCTTCTTCTCTGCAGACTTTCATCCACCCTGGACCCTCTACAGTTCAGTTGCAGAGATAAGATTATCTGTGTACTGTTAGGCAAGCAGTGGCTGGGAGATGGATCGACTGCAGATAACTAGAGGTTGATCATCCCAGTACACACATCAGTTGTCCATTTCAGAAAATTCTAAATGAACCAGAGGAAATAATCAAAGATGTAATTTTAATGGTGCATTCATAGCAAATACAAACAGTGTTCTCTTAATTTTTGTTTGTATATTTTGAGACAGTTTCATATTTTTATGTATCAGACTTACTTAAAGCAAAGCATGTATGGTTGAAGCTCATTATTCAGAGATTCTGTGCTTGCTCATTTGCCTACTTGCTAACATTTAATGCCAAATGTAACCCTAAAATGTATACTCACAGCACTTTCTCTTGCATTCATGGACATACACAGAGCAGGGAACATCTTGAGTTGCTCAGCATGCACATTCCTAGCTGAGTAGAATGAGGTGGTATTCACCTTCCTGTTTTAGCTCACATCCTAGATACAAACAAGTGTCCTTATCAAAGTCTGTTTTGTGCTAGGGTTTGCATTTTTATATTTTTTGTTGGTAATTAGGCTTTGTAAAATGTTCCCCAAACTTGGTGCTGAAGTGCTGTTTAGGTACAAGAAAGCCTTGGTGTGCCTCATGGAGAAAGTATGTGTGTTAGATAAGTTTCACCCTGAATTCAGTGTTAGTGAATCAACAATCTCTACTAAATGAGGTGCTTTTGAACAGAAACACACAGAAGACAATGTTATATATTGCTTGGTTGACAAAGCATTTTGATCAGAGGCTCACAGGAACCGGATCCTGTATTTCCTGTAGGAGCCTTGGTTAAGATTTCTAATTCTGTGTTCACAGTGACTCTGTAGACCATGACTGTTGTGAATCACTGAGCATGGACTGCATCTCTTTAAGAGTGCTGTTCTAAAGGAGAGTAGTCGAATGGTATTGGAAGAATTTCGTTGTGAACAGATGATGCCTCTGGCTGCCCTTACATTGTCCAGACACGCTGTTTCGTTCCCCTCCCCGGGAGGGTTCTCACACAACCCTGTCATTTCTTCAGGGTCCCTTCTCTGAGACTAAGTCTTTCCACTCCCTACTAACAGTTATTTTTGTCTTCCTCTTTTTCTGGAGAAGTTTGCTGTTCATGCTGCTTTGGCACCAGATGCTCTCTTACTTTGTTTTGTTTCATCCTATTTCCTGTATATTAGTCCTAGGATTCTCAGGAGCCTGTGAACTGCTTGAGGAAAATATAGCAGTGCTTCTGTATTGCTTTATTTTATTTTATTATTTGAGATGGAGTCTCATTCTATCGCCTCGGCTGGATGGAGTGGCACAGATCACGACTCACCGCAGCCTTGACCCCCTGGGCTCAGGTGATCCTTCTACCTCAGCCTCCCAAGTAGCTGGGACTATAGGCTCATACCATCACACCTTGCTAATTTTTTTTATAGAGACGAGGTCTTGCTATGTTGCCTGGGCTGGTCTTGAACTCCTGAGCTCAAGCAATCCTCCCACCTTGGCCTCCCAAAGTGCTGGGATTACAGGCGTGAGCCACCATGCCCGACTATATTGCTTTATTTTATATTTTCTTTCTTCCTCTCTTCTGGTTGTTCTTCTTCCATCTGCCAACATGCTTTAATTTCCCTGATACTAAATATTTTCTTGCTTCCGAACTCCTTTTTTCCTTGCTCTCTTGATTTTTACTGCCAGATCTCTTAAAGACTAGTCCAGACTTTGGCTCCATTTCCTTGTCTACTGTTTCTCTTTAGCTCAGTCATACAATATGACTTTGTGCATAATAAAAATCTAGTATTTTATTAACATGTGGAACTAGGTCCGTTTTAAAAGCATAGACCCTAGTTTAATTGAATTTGCCTTGGAGTTAGAATATCTTGATTTGAATCTCAGTTCTGCTACTTCTTAATTACGTCACTTGAGCACTTGGTCTTTTCTTTAGAATAATATTATTATTTATAATTACTGAATGAAAAAAGTATGCTTGTTTAATGTATTTGTTAAAATTTGAGTGGTGATATTACGATGCATATTTAAGCAAGTCTGTAACTCACCTAAATGCATAATTTTGCCTGAATCTGTTCAAAGTTTTCTCTTAAATGAGAGATATGAAATTCATGGTTTCTAAAACCGTTGTCAGTTCTGAGTTTGCGTTTATGCCCTTGTCATTTTTTTTTTAAAGGAAAAATTGAGGCTGCAGAAATTGTCCAGTCTCTCCAGACCCTGGGTCTAACTATTTCTGAACAACAAGCGGAGTTGATTCTTCAGAGGTAAGCTCTTCATCTTATTGACAGCTGTTTTTGACTTGCTGAGAGCTTTGTAAGTGTGGCTTTTAAGCTTTCCTTGTACCTCACCATTCCTTGTGGAGTGCTGGCGATGCCAGGTGGGATGTGGTGTAACACCTGTGGATTCTTCGGCTCGTTTCTAAAAGAAGTTTTAGAGTGACCAGCAAAGTTTTCAAACAAAGTTTATTAGCAAGAAAAGAAAGAAGAAGGAAGAAGGAAGATTCATGGCAGAAAGACCTGCCATGGGCAAGTTTTTCGAAGAAGAAAAACTGCTTTTTGCTCTCAACTGCAAACTAGAAATGGCTACCTAGTTATTGATATGCTAGTGGATGGAGTCCAAGTAACCATGGCTCCAGATAGACTGACATCTCTGGGCTCCTGATGAGAGGAGACAAGGGGAGGGGTCTTTTCCTGACCACATAGTTTCTCATAGGAGACCTGCTAGACATTTCCAATCCACAAGCTCCTTAGCTAAAAGGTGGTCTTATTATCTTTTCTGTGGCTTTGGCCAGTTAAGGGGTGGTCTTTGGCCTTCCGTGATAGAGAACCTGAAAGATTCTTAGAGATGATGATGCTAAACCATGAATTGAAAGGTTGGGCTGTCCTGGTCTTGCATATGGTATAGTTTCTTTTGATTTGCCGAAGGGTGGACTGTCAGCTTGGCCTGCAGTAAAAGGTAATTTTTAAAATGTCTGAATGCTTCTTAAAACCTGCCTATGGGAAATTTATCTATCTATGTCTAACCTGTACTAGTTACCCTGCCTCACTGGGATGCCAGGCATGTGTCCCCTCATTCTGATCTTTAAATTCGCTGAGGTCTTTTCTAACTCGGAGGCTTTTATTTTTAGTTCCCACTGCCCAAGGGACTCAACTCTGTTTTACCCTTCATGAGCCTCTGGTTCTCACCTTGGCAGAGGCATCACTGGATCCAAAGGTGCCCTCTCCTATGCCTCACTCCTGTTAGACTTTGTCTCTGTAACTTGTTCTGTTCATGGCTCTTGTGTTTTGTTACCATGGACTTATTTGTGTGGTGGAGTGGTTAGAAGTTCAGTTCCTGCAGTCAGAATTCCGGAGTTGAAGTACTTAATTTCACTCTACTTACCTGCCCTGTGACCTAGGACAAAATACTGAACCTCTCTTTCTCCGTCTATAAAATGGGGGGTGTGGTGAGTCCATGGGCGTATTTGAAGGATCAGATGAGTTAACATTTAACATTATCCTCTTGCTTAGAACAGTGCTGGCAAATGTTCAATGATATTAGCTGTTACTCACTGTTGTTTAGTGCTTGTTCTTCCTACTACATTATAGGTTTTGAGGGCGCAGAACCTGTGTATCTGGTGAACTGTTTTGTGCCCAGCATGTTGCAATAGTGAACTCTCAGAAAATATAGAAGATCATGTAGGAGAATGAGAAGTTATCCTGCTGAACGGGTGGGTGCAGAGACATTCCAGGTAGAGGAAAGGGCATGTGTAGCCATGAATGCAGGAAGCAGCACATATGGGGAATGGCGTGCTCTCCAACCATGGTGGACCTCTTAACTAGTGGTTTGTGGATTGTTTGAGTGGCTTATTGGAAACAGCTATGAATATAATCATCATAATAACCATAATAATAATGACCAATTTGTGGGATTTATGAAAAACAACTGCAACACTAGACGATAATGTGATGTAAGTCAGGAGAGGAAAGGGTAATTTATTTTAAACTGTTTTAAAATTCCCATCTTATATAAGAACGTAGGATCAGACATTGACTTGAGACTTTTGAAAAATAGCCAGGCTCGGTGGCTCAGCCTGTAATCCCGTGCTTTGGGAGGCCGAGGTGAATGGATTGCCTGAGCCCGCGGGTTCGAGACCCTCCTGGGCAACTTGGCGAGATCTCATCTCTACAATAAATCAAAAACTTAGCCGGGCGTGGTAGTGCGCACCTGTAGTTTCAGCTACTCGGAAGGCTGAGGCGGAAGGATTGCTGGAACCCAGCAGGTCGAGGCTGCGGTGGCCGGGAGCGGCCACTGCACTCCAGTCTGGGTGACAGTGAGACTCCAACTCAAAAAAAAATTTTTCCCGTAAAGAAAACTTTGGCCTCCGATGGTTCTTGAAACTGTTCAGAAACAGATCTACAAACATTTCCAGAGTGTAGGAGTACCCTATCCAGTCCTTTCTATGAGGCCATTATCACCATAATACCAAAAGCAGACAAGTAATGAAAGAGGAAAATTATAGGCCAATATCATTTATGACATATAGGTAAAAATTTAAAGAAATTATTAGCAAATGGAATCATTTGTATGTAAACAATATACCACAATCAGTACATCTGTAAGAGCAACTTAAAATTTCATGAGAAGGCATTAAAGACTCTGTGCAGAAAAGATATCCCTTCTCTCCAAATTGGTGATAGAGATTCAGTATCATTAAAAATGTTTTTTTGAGGAACTTGTCAAACTGAGTCTCAAATTTATACAAAGGGTGAAGGCCTAAGAATAACCAGGTCATTCTTGAAGAACCTTGAAGAATCTTGAAGCCAGGAGCCTGCCCTATCAGATATTAAGAGTTATTAATAAGCCAAAATTAAGACAGTGGTATTGCTTCAGAAATAGACAAGTTAACAAGTGGAATGTAGTAGAGAGCCTGGAAGCAGGCCCCTCCATATTTTGGACTTGTCACATGAGAGAAGGAGCTCTGCAAATCCCCAGGAAAAGGAGAGACTAGGTGATAAATGATGCTTGTGCCCATGCAGATGGAAGTAATTGAATACCTACCTCTTCTCATCCACAAACATCTATCTAAATGTGAAAGTTAAGCTGAAACACCTTATTGGCAGGGTGGTGGGAGAAGTGTCTATCTCAGTGTAGGGAAGAATTAAAAAAAAAAAAAAAAAGACACAAAAGGCAGTAGCCAAAAATGAAAAGATTGATCGATTCAGATCCACCAGAACTAAGGGCATCTATGCTGGGCGCCATAAATAAAGTGAAAGGACAAAGAGAAAGCATTGGACTACTTAGAACTCTAAGGATTAGAATTAACTAAATAAAGAACTATGTAAATAAGGAAAAGACATACAGCCTGTTAGAAAAATGGGCATGAGACATGAACTGAGCATTGCACACAGGGGGAAACATGCATAGCAAATGAACATGGTAAGAGATGCTCACCCTCATTAGTAATTGGAAGAGAAATACAAGTTAAGCCCACAGTGAGACTGTGTTCCCTAAGAAGTTTGTTTATACCTGTGTTCTGTAGCTTTGAGCTACACAATTTGTAATTAATTTATTCATTCAATAAATATTTACTCTGTGCCAGGCACTGTTCTGGACACTGTGGTGATATCAGTGAACAACAACAAAAGTTTTTGGCTTGTGAAAGATGCTCGTGTGCGGGAGGTTAGGTGTTGGGGTCAAGCAATGCACAATTCTATTAACATAGAAAGCAGTGATAACAGCAGAGCTGTAAATATCACAAGCCAGAATAAAGTTGGAAGTAGTGACCAGGGCTCTAATGCAGATATGCAAAGTTAATACCCGTGTGTTGGGACAATTTCCCATATGCAGGTCCAAATAAAAAGTGATACTAGAAGATACAAGAATGAATATCTGAAAACTGCATTTTATTTGACTGCCATCTTTATGCATAATTTTCACACAGATTACAGAATAAAATTTGTAGGAGGCAACACTTTTTTTAAAGCGACATCCATCAATTCAACAAATAAATGAGCACTTTCTTTATGCCAGCCGCTTCAGTAGCTGACTGTAGGGGAAAAAAACAGTAGGAAGAAAACAGTCGGAATTGTGGCACACTCAGAATTGCTTTTAGGGGAAAACAGGTACAAATGGTATGATTGCCAAGAAACTCGTAAAACAAGGGAAAAGTTAATGATAAATATTTAAGACTACATTATGTTAATTTTCATGTTGAAAACGAGATATCTTAAGACTCAGAGGCCCAGTTGCCAAGAGTTTGTTTTGTTACAGTCACTACTAATTTTTTATTAACTTGGAGGAAATTTGAGTATATTTTAAAACTACATTCATATGTTGCAACAGAACATTGAGAAATAACCTCCTGAACCAGTGAGTGCAAGAAAAAGTGGGTCACACGTTCCCTCCTCACTATCTCCCAATGTCTTATCTCCCAGTTTTGTTTTCTGGCTCATTGCCTTAGAGCTTGACAGAGTGCTGAGAGGAGTCTTTAATGAGCTCTCTATAATTTGAGAATTCATTTTAATCTAGATAATGAAAACTGGACCATGAAATTCTTGCTGACATTTCCAACAACCTAAATTTGTGAGTGGAATTTTTATATTTAATAAGACTGTTAAGTTGGAGAAGAAACTGTCATTCTGTAAAGTGACCAATAATGTTAGTTTTATTTACCAATTTTGTTGCATTCTTCTTTTTTTTTAAATTAAAATTAAAATTGTTTTTTTGAGTAGGAGTCTCACTCTGTCATCCAGGCTGGGGTGCAGTGGCACACTCATGGCCACTCAGCCTCTACCTATTGGGCTCAGGTGACCCTTCTACCTCAGCTTTTCGAGTAGCTGGAAACACAGGGGCATGCCACCATGCCCAGCTAATTTTTTTTACTAATTGTAGAGACAAGGTCTCGTCAAGTTGCCCAGGCTTGTCTCGAACTCATGGTCTCAGGCAGTCCTCTCACTTCCGCCTCCCAGAGTACTGGGATTTCAGGTACGAGCCACCGCGCCCAGCCCTGTTGCATTCTTTAATCATTTTAAAACATTTTTAGCATTGATGCTGATGGGACCATGACAGTGGACTGGAATGAATGGAGAGACTACTTTTTATTTAATCCTGCAACAGACATTGAGGAAATCATCCGTTTCTGGAAACATTCTACTGTAAGTACATTTCGTATATTTTCACTTATTTGGAGCTATAAGCCATAGGTACACCTGTCACCCAAGAACACTCTGTAACACTAATGGCCAGGATGTCCGAGTCCCAGTGACTCTTAACTTGTAGAGTTCTGTTTATTCTCTTCGGCATAGATTTATAAAGTATTTTTTAAAACCCCAAGTCTGCATAAATAGTCATTTTCAAAACTTGGAAGAAGTACCACCTTGATGAATAAGCTGTCCAGCTTTTATTGGCATTCTTAAATGGCCACTCTGCCATAAGGAAGGGCAGAATACGGGCTTTAACTTTTTATGGATGCCATATTGCCTAAATAATCTCAACCCTTTGTGATAGCTAAAGATCGATTTCCTTGGCTGTTGATGAGAAGGTCCCTTTTGAAACATTCGCTTATTTAGTCAGACTGCCTGGGTTTATCTCTGGCCTAAGGCACTTCTAATGATCATTAAAGGTTGGTTACAAAATCTTTTTGGCTCACTTGCTCAGCATTTTATACTAGTTTGTTTTCAACAAAACTTTCAAAATTCTGGTTAAGTTTCATTAATATTCTGCTAAAATATACCGGTACAAACCAAGTTTTAGTATTGTGTAGTCGTCTCTCGAAACCACTGGAAACTCTCTGAAGGAAATTGCTTTCCTAATGGGCTTGTCTTCTATATTTATTCACGAATTTTAGTAAAGTTATTATGCAATAAATGAAGCCTAGCGTTCATGTTGCCACTGGTAATAGTACTAATAATACTCACATAGACCATTATAAAATTATTGATTGATGGCTTCAACTATAAGCATAAAATAATAATATGGTCAGGCACAGAGGTGCATACCTGTAATTCCAGCACTCTGGGAGTCTGAGGTGGGAGGATTGCTTGAGCCCAGGAGTTCAAGACCAGCCTGGGCAACATAGCGAGACCTTGTCTCTGCAAAAAGGAAAAAATAGCTGGGTGTGGTGGCGGATGCCTGTAGTCCCAGCTACTTAGGAGGCTGAAGTGGGAGGATCGCCTGAGCCCAGTAGGTCGAGGCTGCCGTGAGCCATGATCATCATAACATGCCACTGCACCCCAGCCTGGGCAACAGGGTGAAACCCCGACACACACAAAAGTATATATTTAAAAAATTACATTAATAGTTCAGTTGCCAAATAGATTTTTTACTTATGTGAGTTTTATTTACATGATTCTTATCATATCTTTGAAGACAGTTGATAACAGTCGAGGCTACAATCATATGTCCATTTTATTGGCAGTAAAATGAAGGAGGAGAGGGTTTCTACCTAACTTCTAATCCTACTCTTGCCTGTAAAATCTTCTATTCTAAAATCATTTAGATAATGAAGTTGTAGAAATATCGTTATAGAACTTTGTTTCTCTCAAGCTATATTTATAATCTGTAGTAATGCTTAGAATAGATTGGGTGGGGTGATCATTTTAAACAATACCTCCCAGTTAGCCTTTTTTTTTTAAATAAGGATAGAGACAGGTCTTCTATGTTGCCCAGGCTGGTCTTAAACTCCTGGGCTCAAGTGATCCTCCCACCTTGCCATCCCAAAGTGCTGGGATTAGCTAAATTTTATATAGAATCTATTGCATGTTTTAAATGACAAGTCAGATTTATAAAAGTATTTATAGTCAGTCAATATAGAAAATGAATTTGGGGTATTTACATACAATTTGTATTTGCATATTTAGTGTAGTATATTAAATATGTAATATGTCAATATAGGGAATAGATGTACATATATCATGGTATAAAGTATAATGTGGATATAATTTTGAGATAAAGAGAGTATTGTTGAACAATTGACAAATGAAGTCTTTATTTTTTTAATTTTTAATTTTTAATTATTAATTTTTTGAGTTGGAGTCTCACTCTTTTGCTCAAGCTGGAGTGCAGTGGCACTCTCCCGGCCACCGCAACCTCAACCTGCTGGGCTCAGACAATCCTTCCGCCTCAGCCTTCTGAGTAGCTGGAACTACTGGCATGCTCTACCATGCCTGGCTTATTTTTTGATTTATTGTAGAGATGGGGTCTTGCCAAGTTGCCTGTGCTGTTCTCGAACCCATGGGCTCAGGCAGTCCTCTTGCCTCGGCCTCCCAAAGTGCTGGGTTTACAGGCTTGAGCCCCCGTGTCCGGCCCAACAAATTAAGTCTTAGAAGATGTCACCACCAGTGGATGTGGGCTTCTAGCCTTATGGAAAGTGGCCGCAGCTCAGAAGGATTGACGGTACCTAATAAGGTGCTGCCCTTTTGTTCTGACTTAGAGCAGGAGGAGGAAAATTACTCTGAATTGATGAAGAAAGCGCGTTTGTAGATTTGTGATTACTGTGGATTTTCATTTCTTGTGAACCAATACTGCACTTTGTTCAGTGCAGGGAAACTGTTGATCATCTGTGTGCTCAGATGCGCTCAGTGTAAATTCTACAGAATAAAGTTGATCTTCACTGTCAAATAGAACATGATGCTTACTTAACGTAGTAAAACTTCTGGGGTCATCTGTTTTTAATTGAAGACGCATGAGTGTCTTTTTTTCCATTTTACCAGGGAATTGACATAGGGGATAGTTTAACCATCCCAGATGAATTCACGGAAGATGAAAAAAAGTCGGGGCAGTGGTGGAGGCAGCTCTCGGCAGGAGGCGTGGCAGGGGCTGTCTCTCGAACAAGCACGGCCCCTCTGGACCGCCTGAAGGTCATGATGCAGGTGAGCTTTGTGAGCGGGTGTCCAAGTTTGTCCCCCATACTCTAAAACAATGAGAAATGGGGTGCTTTGAAAAAGAAGTTTGAACATTTCTCAGGAATAGTCTTTCATACCTTAAAAACATCTTGATGTTATTGCTAGTAATTCTGAATTCAGTCCATGTGAGTGCTGCGCCAACATTGAAATTGTTGGTATGTGGGAAATAGAGTCATTGACATTTTATGGCTATGCAAATGCTTAATTTAAAAAAGCTCTAGCCATTATTGTAGGATTCACTTTAACTTATTTGTACTTTCCTTATTTTTAATATACTTTATCAAAAGTTAGATATTTCTGAAACCTAGAGTCTTAAAACAAGGATATAATTTTTAAAACTGTTCAAAGCTGAGGTAGGCAGAAAAAGGTCTGGATTCACAGACTGGCTTTGCTTTTTTTTTTCTTCTGAATTGGGAATTTCACGGTGTCACCCGGTCTGGCATGCAGTGGTATGATCCTAGCTCACTGCAGCCTTAAACTCCTGGATTCAAGTAATCCTTCTTTCTTAGCCTCCCGAGTAGCTGGGACTACAGGCACGCACTACCAGCTAATTTTTTTGTTGTTTTTGTTGGTCCAAGGTCTCACTATGTTGCCCAGAGTGGTCTTGAACTCCTGGGCTCCAGTTGGCCTCCCAAAGTGCTGGGATTATAGGTGTGAGCCACTACACCCAGCCTGTACTACTTCTTGAAGAGAGGAAGTGTATGTTACCTGCATTATGCTTTTTTATTTATCTTAAACTGAACTTGTTCATGTTTCAAAGGGTGTTTGATAGCCTAGTACGTAATTTGGTTAATGTTCTTATGAATGTTGTTCATAATAGTTTTAATTTTGATTATATCTTCTCTGCCTGTCTTCTACACCGAATGTACCAGTTATTCTTGGTTTTAGATTCAGAGACTGGCCTCTAAAATGGCAGAAGCACTCCCTCCCATCCTTACACATTTTCTCAACCTTCTATATTTTATCTTCAAATATATCTTTTTGCAGTTATAAACAGTATTGAAAAGAGATTGTATGGTTACCTTAGAAAAAGTAACAATAAAATGCTGCAAGTATTTTATATCATTTTGTTTTTATTTTTTAGGTTCACGGTTCAAAATCAGACAAAACGAACATATTTGGTGGCTTTCGACAGATGGTGAAAGAAGGAGGTATCCGTTCCCTTTGGAGGGGAAATGGTACCAATGTCATTAAAATTGCTCCTGAGACAGCTGTTAAGTTCTGGGCATATGAACAGGTAATTGTTACCACCTGTGGGATTTATTAACAAAGAGGAGTTAGTACACTGATTCAATAAAGGTTAATATGCAGGGCTTTTGGGATTCTTTTTTTAATCCATGATCATTTTCCACATACACTCCATTAGGAATATCCCTTACAGGAGATTAAACTAAATATATCCAGAGAGTCCTCATGACTAAGATGCGGGAGTCTGAGTCTCATAAAGTTATTTATAAAGAAAGACTTCTGCATTCTATTCTAAGTAGTTCTCGAAGGAAAGGTAGAGTTTTAGATTATTCATTTCGAATTCCAAATAGAAGCGGCACACTGACTTAAGTTGTATGAAAGTGTCAAGATCTAATCTCTGGAAGGAAGGCTTTTAAGTTGAAGTCTTTTGTATCACTTGACATTGCTGTGAAGTTGAGCTTGCTTTAGAGTGATGCTCTTTGAAGGCAGGGGCGTGGTTTCCCATCCACTCTAGTGCCGAGAGAGAGCCTGGAGTGTGGTAAGTGCTAAGTGAGTGTTTGTGGAATGAGTGAAGGAATGAGTGAACAAATGCATTTGCCTCTGAGTCAACTTCTCTGTTGACTTTTGTTGACAAATACTGTTTGGTCTGTTGCTTTGGCCTGACTCTTAAGAGGAAATACAGTAGTGAATCTTAAAGTTTGGGTTCTCTTTATGGTCATGGGCAGAACTGTCTGGTTGAGCATCCACAAATTATTTTTTTCCTTATTCGTTCCATCATTGTTCATTGTGGAATGTGAGGGCATTGAACTTGAACTCCACCTCACAGTTTTTGTATCTTCTCAAGGAGATTTATTCTGGAGAGTGTTTTGTTCTTGAGCAGCAGAACACTTGAGAGGATGACATGGTATAGTGGTGCACTTTTCTTGGCTTAGGAAATAGAGAAGCAAAGAAAAGATGGAACAAAATCTCGCCTCCAGTACTTTCTATTAGGACCTGTCTTTGGGAAGGATATTGTCTTTATGTGAGGGTTTGATGACTCAAATCATAGCGGCTAAGGGCTAGTGTTTTGAATACCCTTAGGCTATCCCGACCACATCCTTGGATTTTATGATAGGGCACTGAGCTTAAAATAAATACATATTTTAAGATCATGTGATTATTTCAATATGCAGGAAGTCTGACATTTTTCAATGTCCCTAGGTATTGCAAGCAAAAGTGCCCAGTACACTTTATGCCATTTGTCCGATTTGTAACTCGGATGCTACCAACAAGCATGCTCTCCTTCCATCCAACCAGGCTCTCTCTGAGACCTCTTCACAGCATTCTGATTTCTGCAAGCTGACTTCTCTTAGCCATAAGCAAAAGCTCTCTACACAGTGCGGCGTAGTGCTCTCACGGCCTCTGGGTCCTTCATGCCCTCTTCACTCTCTCCCCTGCTGCTGAAAGTCTGTTCATCCCTCAGGGCTCCTAAGAGATTGATTTCTAGGAGCTGATTTGTATTTTGGTCTTGTCCTAGTTAGTTCGGGCGGCCATAAGACCCTGTAGACTGTGTGACTTACACAGCAGAAATGTATTGCTCATGGTTCTGGAGACTGGAAAGTCCAGGATCAAGGGCCCAGCCAATCTGGTTTCTAGTGAGGCTTCTTTTCCTGGTTTGTAGACAGCCAGCATGTGCTCACATGTTCTTTCCTTGGTGCATGTGTGAGGCAGGGGAGAGAGAGAGTAAGCTCTCTGGTGTGTGCTCTTATATGAACACCAATCCTAGCATGAGGGCTCCCCCACTCTTGATCTCATCTAACCCTGATTGTCTCCCAGAATCCCATCTCCTAATGCCATCACACTGGGGACTTCAGCATATGAGTTAGGGGAGGGGACACAGTTCTATACCACGTATTCATTGCTTTTAAAAACTTATTTACACAGTACAAGAAATTGCTTACTGAGGAAGGACAGAAAATAGGAACCTTTGAGAGATTTATTTCTGGTTCCATGGCTGGAGCAACTGCGCAGACATTTATCTATCCCATGGAGGTAACTACCGCTGTGAAGTCTGACTACTTGATGGTGTTTGTATTGGTTATCTGCTGCTATGTAACAAGTTATTCCCAAACTGACAGTTTAAAAACAACAATCAGTAATCATCCCACAGTTTTTGTGGGTCAGGAATCTGGGAGCTGCTTAGCTCGGTGCCTCTGCCTCAGTGTTTTTCACAACCTGTAGTCAAGGTGTTGGTCAGGGCTGTAATTACCTCCAGTCTCAATGGGAGTGGAATCTGCTTCCAATGTTATTTATGTGGCTGCGGCCAGGCCTCACTGGCTGTTGGCTAGGAACCCCAGTTCCTTTTCACAGAAGCTTTTCTACAGGCTGCCTAAGTATCCTGAAAACACAGTATCTGGCTTCTCTGTACTCAGTGATCCATAGAACGAGAGAGTAGAAGTGAGAGAGAATGCCCAAGATAGAAGTCTTTTGTCATATCTGCTGTATTCTCTTGGTGTCACAGACCAATCCTGATAGAGTGTGTGGGGGGGGGCTTATACAGTGATGTGTAATCAGGACACAAGGATCATTGGGGTCTGTTGTAGAGGCTGGCTGCCATAGCGTTGGTGAGAATTATAACCCCCATTCCTCTCCATAGAGTTTCTTGTCCATAAGTTCGATAATGGAACCTCAGAATTTGATTATATGATGATAATCCTGACTAGACATCCCTCCATCAGAGCACGGGTTGGCAAACCACAAACCTGTGCACTGTTATGTACAGCCCTTGAGCAAAGAATGGTTTTTACATGTTTAAAAGGTGGGTTAAAAATAAAGCAAAAACAAAGAATATGCAACAGAGACCCAATACTTTAGGCCTGCAAAGACTAAAATATTTACTATTTGGCCTTTGCAGAAAAAGCTTGCCAACTTCTGCTTTGTAGCAAAAGTGATACTGGAGATATGGAATTTACTGATATAACAAAGAATGTTTTAGTGATTGGTAAGACCTGAGCAAGGTACTCCCTAACTTTCACTGCTTGGTAGTAGACATGCGAGTATTGCTCTCTCTGAGCATCTTAACATGATTGCTCCTGTCACTCCACACGCCTGTCCAAAAAGTATTCTAACTCGGTACCTACTCTCCTCTTACATCCTCTATGTCAATTAATAGCATCCCTTGCCCCCTCCCCACTGCCCCATCCTGTGTTCCAAGCTAGAAACACGGGATTTCCCTTCGCACTACAGTGTCCCTCACCTTCCATACCTACTTGGTCACCAGTCAGCTTTCTTAAGACATCGGTAGATTTTCTTGTCTCTGTTTCCTCTGTCACTGCCCTCATTCAGATCCTCTTTTCAATAAATGGGTCTCCCTGGCCCTGGTCTTACCCCTCAATACATGAGAGAAAGCGTAGCATCACTTTGGATGGTCATTTGAGTGCCAGTATGTACGAGGTATTTGTTCCCTATAAAGTTATTTTGAATCTTGTGATGGTCGAATGAATATGAACAATATTTTGTTACATTTTCTTATATTCAGGTTATGAAAACCAGACTGGCTGTAGGCAAAACTGGACAGTACTCTGGAATGTATGACTGCGCCAAGAAGATTTTGAAGCGTGAAGGCTTGAGAGCTTTTTACAAAGGTTACATTCCCAATTTATTGGGCATCATACCTTACGCAGGCATAGATCTTGCTGTGTATGAGGTGGGTTGACAGCAATCCTCTAAATCTGAAAAATAGAGTTAAATAACTCTTGTGAGAATTTGACTTTATATAAAGAAGTAGAGATAGACCAGAATACAGTTTGTGGCCACAAGTAGATTCAAAGATGTGTTATTGAACTGTCTTGTCAAGTGCCTTGGATGTGAATATGCAGGAGTCACTTTTGTGTTAATTTCCTTGTGAGTTATATTTGTTGATGAAGAGTAGACTTAAGTTTAGGTATGTATAGTTGTTCTGCTTAGATGATACTAGAGATTGTTTTGAGGGGAGAGAGAATAAGCAAATACTTATGTCACGTCTCTTTTTATTTTTGGTTTTGTTAAAGTCTGACTCTGATACAGCTAGGTCACTAATATAGGTTATGCTGTTTCATTCCTTTTACTGAAGAGACAACTCTGAATGCAAATCTTAGATCAATCCTGCCAATCATTTAATAATTTTTGAATCTTACAGACATTTATGAAACACACATTGTGCAAACCACTGGAAATAAGGATTCAGAGAAATCTGCATGTGTCTTTAAGAAACTGAAGATCTGATGGGGGAGACAGACAAGCAAATAGCTAAAGCACAGCGTCGTCAGTTGTGCTGGTTGACGTGAGCCAGGGCACATGGTAGGAGAGGATCCAGCCTGCGCTGGGAAGAGGCGCGGACGGAGTGATAGAAGGAGGACTTGACTTTTTTTTTTAAGCAACTTTATTGAGATTTAATTCCTATTCCATTTATTTTACTTGTTTAGAGTGTATAAGTCAATGATTTTTGGTATATTACATTATTAATTTTTAAAAAAATTTGGTAAAATTAACAAAATTTGCCATTTTAAACATTTTTTTTCTTTTTAACCACTCTTGAGTCTATAAATCAGTGGTATTAGTAATAATCACAATATTGCACAACCATCAGCACTGTTTCCAAAATGTTTTCATCATTCTAAACAGAAACTCTTTAACCATGAAGCAATAGCTCCCCATCTCCATAAGCCCCTGGTGGCCTTGAACCCACTTTCTGTCTTTAGGAGTTTGCCTCTTCCAGATATCTTGTAGTACACTGTTTGTCTTTTTGTATCTGGTTTATATTTCTTAGCATCATATCTTTAAAGCTTGTTCATGTTGTAGCATGTATTAGAACTTCATTCCTTTTAAAGGCTGATCAATATGCCATTGTGTGTATAGACCCCATTTTGTTTTTTTTATTTGTCTGTTGATGAACACCTGGATTTTGTCCACCTTTTGACTATTGTGAATAATGCCTCAGTGAACATTCGTATCTCAGCATCTGTTAGAGCTTCTGCTTTCAGTTCTTTGGGGTATTTACCTAGGAATGGGATTGCTGGATCATATGGTAATTCTGTGGTTAGCTGTTCAAGGAACCATTGAACTGTTTTCCATAATGGCAGTGCCATTTTGCACTCACACCAACAACATACAGGGGTTCTAGTTTTTTTATGTCCTTACTAATATTTATCATTTTATTTATTTTTAAGCTTTTAAAGATGTGGGGTACAATTCAGGGTTCGGTGTACAAATGTTCATTATGCAGGTTGATGAGATATGCTCCCCGCCGCTGGCAGTTTCCCACTATTGCCAATCCTGCTTCCCCCTACTCCCCGGCAGTTTCCCACTACTGCCAATCCTTTTCTTACAGTATTACGATAATTATTCAAGATTCACTTATGCATGAGAGCGTGTGATACTCAGTTCTTTGTTTCTGTGAAAGATCACTCAGTATTATAGATACTTAAGTCCTTCCAAGTTGCTGTGATGTTCATAACTTTGTCCTTTTTAAAGGCTGCGTAATATTCCATTGTGTTTATGTACCACATTGTTTTTATCCAGTCCTCTTTCAGTGGGCAGCATGGTTGATTTCATGTTTTTGCTATTGTGAACAGTGCTGCAGTAAACATACGTGTGCAGGTATCTTTTTCAAAGACTGATTTGAATTCCTCCTGGTATATTCCCAGTAGGGGGATTGTGGGGTCATATGAAAGGTCAGTTTTTAGATCTTTTAGGAATCGCCAAACTGTTTTTCACAGAGGTTGTATTAGTTTACACTCCCACTAACAGTGTAGAAGTGTTCCCTTTTCCCCACATCCTCTCCAGCATCTGTTGTTTTTTGACTTATTGATGATGGCCATCCTGAGTGGAGTTAGGTGGTATCTCAGTGTAGTTTTAATTTGCATTTCTTTGATGACTAGTGAGGCTGAGCATTTTTTCATGTATCTGTTGGCTGCTCATATGCCTTCTTTTGAGAAATGTCTATTCATATCTTTTGCCGTCTTTCTTTTTGGCGTATTTGAGTTCCTTGTAGATCCTAGTTGTTAGGCCTTTGCCAGACATACAGTTGGCAAATATTTTTTCCCAGCCTGTGGGCTGTCTCCCTGCTCTCTTGATGTTTCTTTGGCTTTGCAGAAGCTTGTCAGGGTGATGAGGTCCCACTTGTCTATCTTATCTCTTACGGCATGGGCACTTGGGGTTTTGATCAGGAATTGGTTGCCAGTTCCAATTTCAAAAAGGGTGTCTTCTACATTTTCAAAGGTCCTTATAGTTTGAGGTTTTATGTTTAGTTCTTTGATCCATTTAGAGTTTATTTTTATGTATTGTGAAGATTAAAACAAGACCCCTACCTATTTTATTTTTTAAATTACTTTTCATTGTCGCTGTCTTCTTGAGTATAAAGAAGCATCTCATCATGCTTTAGGACTTTACTTCTTGTACTGAGTTTATTAAAAAAAAAGTGGTAAAAATGCATATAACAAAGTGTACTATTTTAACCACTTAAAAAATATATAGTAGTGTTAAATATATGTGGTTTGTTGTGCAACAGATCTGGTAGAACTGTTTCACCTCGCAGAAATGAAACTCTATACTCATTAAACAACAGCTCCCAGTTTCCCCTTCACCTCAGCCCCTGGTGACCTACTTTCTCTTGTTATGAGTTGACTACGTTAGACACATCATGTAAGTGGAATCATGCGGTATTTGTCTTTTTTTGGCTGGCTTATTTCACTTAGTAGAATGTCTTAGAGGTTCATCCATGTTATAGTGAATGACAAGATTCCTTTCTTTTATAAGGCTGAGTAATATTCCATTGTGTGCATATATCACATTTTGTTTACTCATCTGTTGATGGACATTTGGGTTGTTTTTGCATCTTGACTTTTATGAATAGTGCTACAGTGAGTATAGTTGTGCAAATATCTCTTCAATATCTTGTTTTCTTTTTTTTATGATATATACCAGAAGTATGACTGGATCAGATGATAATTTTATTTTTACTTCTTTAAGGAACCTCTGTAGTGTTTTCCATAGTGACTGCATAATTTTTTTTTTTTTTACATTCCCACCAATGGGTACAAGCATTCCAGTTTTATAGCACTTATTTTCTGTTTGTTTTGTTTTGATAGTGGCCATCCTCCCAGGTGTAAGTGAGATCTCATTGTGGTTTTGATTTGCATTTCTCTGATGATAAGTGATACTGAGCATCTTTTCACATACCTGGTGGTCAGTTGTACCTTCTTTTGGGAAAAATTCTGTTCAGGGTCTCTGCTAATTTTCAAATCAATTTTTTATTGTTGTTCTTGTTGAGTCGTAGGAGCTCTTTATATTTTCTGGAAATTAATCCCTTATCAGCTATGGCCTTTGTCACTTCTGCTGTGTTCTGTTGGTCACACAGACCAACCCCGGGAGAGTGTGGGAGGGAATTGCACAGTGGTAGGAACATCAGGAGGCGAGGATCACTGGGATCCGTTGCAGAGGCTGGCTACCGCAGTGTTGATGAGAATTACCACTTCCGTTCCTCTCTCTATTTCAATAGGTTCCCCATTCTGTAAATTTCCTCTTCACTCTGTTGATAGTTTCCTTTGCTGTGCAGAAATCTTTAAGTCTGCCATAATCTCATTTGTCTTTTTGCTTTTGTGGCCTATGCTTTTGGTGTATATTCAAGAAATTATTACCAAATCCAATTTCCTGAGGCTTTCCCCCTATGCTTTCTCCTAAGAGTTTTAAAGTTTTAGGCCTTGCATTTAAGTCTTTAAACCATTTTGAGTTTATATTTGTAAGTGGTGTTAGGTAAAGGTCCAACTTCATTCGTTTGCATGTAGATACACAGTTTTTGAAGAGAATCTTTTCCCCATTGACTCCCTTGTTGAAGATGATTGGGCTGTATACAGTTATTTCTGAACTCTGTGTTCTAGTCTGTTATCTTCTCTGTTCTGTTGGTCTGTGTATGTCTTCATGCCAGTACCACACTGTCTTGATTACTATTGCTTTGTAGTGTGTTTTGAAATCAGGAATTGTGAGGTCTCAAGCTTTGTTCTTTTTCAAGATTGTTTTGGCTATTTGGGGTCCCTTGAGACTTCATATGAATTTTAAGATGGTACTTTTTATTTCCACAAAAAATGCTGTTGGAATTTTGTTAGAGATTGCATCGAATCTGTAGATTGCTTTGGGCAATGTATTACTCTGCTCTGGTTGCTAAAATAAAATACCACAGTCTAGTTGGTGTGAACAACAGAAACGTATTTTCTCACAATTCTGAAGGCTAGAAATCCAAGATCAAGATTCTGGCTGATTTGATTTCTGGTGAGGGCTCTCTTCCTGATTTGCAGATGGCCACCTTTTTGCTGTGTCCTCACATGGCTTTCCTTGGTGTGTGCATGGTTTTGTGTGTGTGTATGTGTGTGGGAGAGACGGAGAGGGAGAGAGAGAGAGAGAAAACACATGTGAGTGTGAGTGTGAGAACATTTGCAAACTCTGTAGTGTCTCTTCTTAGAAAGACACTAATTCTCTATGATCAGGGTCCCATGTTATGACCTCATTTAGCCTTCCTTTCTTTCTTACAGTTCTCATCTCCAGATATCATTACATTGGGGATAGGGTTTCAAGGTACACAATTTGAGAGAATACAAACATTCAGTTTATAACATGTTTTATGGACATTTTAACAATACCAAGCTTTCCATTCCATGAACATGGAATGCCTTTCCACTTATTTGTATCTGTGTTGAGTTCTCTTAGCAATGTTTTGTAGTTTTCAGCATACAAATATTTTACCTCCTTGGTTAGGTTTAGTCATAATTATTTTATTCTTTTTAATGCTATTACATTTGGGTTTTTTAAAGAATTTATTTTCAGATTGATCAGTGTTGCTTATATAGAAACAGAATAGCAATTTGTGTTGATTCTATATCCTATAACTTTGCTAAAAATGTTTCTTAAATTTAACATTTTTAACATCATATCATCTGCGATCAGAGATAATTTTACTTTTTTCTTTCCAATTTGGATCCTTTTATTTCTTCTTCTTGTCTAAATGTTCTGGCTAGGACTTCCACTACTATGTGGTATAGTAGTGGTGAGAGGTGGCATCCTTGCTTGATCGGGCCTTAGGGGAAATGCTTTTAGTTTTTCTTAAAGTCTTTTTTACCGATATAATCCTTTATATTTATTGATGATACAAATTACCTCTTTTTACATTGTGTATCTTGTAACATAGATTTATAATTGCTATTTATGCTTTTGTTTTTTAAAATTCTGTTTAAATTTTGTTTTTGAAATTTAGATTTCTAAGTTATTTGCACATGTACATTATGATAGCACAGGCTTTTGTAATTTTTCACATGTTTACTTTTGCCATAGAATTTTGAGTTTTCACATGGTTTCATGATGCTGTTTGTCATCGTTTTGTTTCTCCCTCTACTATTTCTTATAGGGCAGTGGTGACAAGCTCTCAGCTTTTATTTATCTGGGAATGTCTTAATTTCCCCTTCATTTCTGAAGGACAGTTTTTGTCAATACAGTATTGTTGGTGGCAGTTTTTTATTTTAGCAGTTTGAGTATAACGTCTCACTTCCTTCTAGCCTGCAGGGTTTCCATTGAAACGGTTGAGAAATTCAATGATAACCTTACAGGATTAAAAAATTAAAACGGCCGGGCTCGGTGGCTCAGCCTGTAATCCCAGCACTTTGGGAGGCTGAGGTGAGTGAATTGCCTGAGCCCGTGGGTTTGAGACCTGCCTGGGCAACTTGGAGAGATCTCGTCTCTACAATAAATCAAAAGCTAGTCGGGCGTGGTAGCGCGTGCCTGTAGTTTCGGCTGCTTGGAAGGCTGAGGCTGAAGGATCGCTGGAGCCCAGCAGGTTGAAGCTGCAGTGGCTGGGAGCATGCCACTGCACTCCAGTCTGGGCGACAGATTGAGACTCCAACCCAAAACAAAAAACAAAAAGCAAACAAACAAATAATTAATTAAAACGAGGAACATAATTTTTTTTATATACATTTTTATACTTGACATATTTTATGTTTTAAACATAAAACATGCTTTTATGTTTAAAACATAAAACTCCATGGTACAGGTAAATATATAGAAAATTATAGAATCCTGTAGCATCATAATGCATATATGTAAATAACTTTGAAATCTAAATTTTAGAAACAAGTTGATTAACATGTATAGTTTATACCATTTCTCCCAATTATTGAGTCTAATGAAATACAGGGACCTAGAATAACGGGGGGGGGGGGGGGAAGCCTGACCTCTGAATCAGTGCACCTGGTTCTGAGCTCGTCATAAAAAACTCCACTGAGACAAATTTTTCTCATTTCCAAAATCGGAATAATAGGTCATCTGAGTTTTTGTAAGGGCCAAATTAAATGACATACAGAAGGTGCCAAAAAAAAAATGTATATACATTTTAAGAATAATCACCCTGGGATGAAAACTTTCCAATTTGCTATTTTAAGAATGCAACGTAAGCTTGTTCTGCCATCTCTCGTCTCGCGTGCACAGCTTGGTGGATTTCCGTGGCAGGTGTGTGCACTGTTCCAACACCACAGCGGAAGAAGCAGGACTTGTTGCTGGGTGAGGCCTCTGGATCTTCCCTTGCACGCATCATGCGTCTCGCCTTCATCACGGATGCGTGTGATTGTCAGGCGTGTTGGAGATTCTGGTGCTCACTCACGCCTCCATGGCGGTCGTTGGGCTTCCGCAACGTTCTCAGATTTCAAATACCACTTCAGAATGGTCTTGCGCTCCTCGAAAGACAACTGTACTTCCCCCATTTTCTTGGACTGTCCTGCCTGTCACATCGCGGCACTGGCATTCGTTTGATGAATGCCATCTTTGGAACGAACATCACTGAAATAATGGTCAATAGTATTGTTCTGTGAATACGCGCCGTAAGAGATGTTTTTAGATCTCACCACATTTGATGGGCTTCGTGTTTGTTTAGAACCAGTGCAACCTCATGTGTTGAGTCCCCTGTGGCCTCCCTCCTTCCCCTTTCTTTCCCCCCAGAGCCGCTGCTACCCTTGAGAACATGTGACCCGGTCTAACACAAGCGTGGCCCGTCTCTCATAAGCTTGAGAGTAGCTGGGCAGACTTTGTTCCTGTTGACCAAAAGCAGTTGTATAGTTGGCTCACTGTTTTTCTTCTTTTCTCTGGCAGCTCTTGAAGTCCTACTGGCTAGATAATTTTGCCAAGGACTCTGTAAACCCTGGAGTCACAGTTTTGCTGGGATGTGGTGCCTTATCCAGCACCTGTGGCCAACTGGCCAGCTACCCCTTGGCTTTGGTGAGAACACGCATGCAGGCTCAAGGTGAGTTTTCATGACAGAATAACTCGGACAGGTGCTGTGGCTATGCAGGGTGTGGCTTTAAGACAGCATTTCTCAACCATTGTTGCCTCCCTAACCTTGAACCTTTTCAGAAATTCTTGTTTTAAACATTCCTTCTTTATAAAATGTTGGTGCCACAGAAATACTGCCTATATTTTGTATGTATGGAATTGCTGTATATAGAAACAGAGTAAGTTTTTTTTTAATTTGTTGCATTCGTAAGAGTATAAGCATTGATATCTAGATGGATTTAGTTTAGATCCTTGCCCCAAACTGCTATTTTTTTTTTTTGGTTTTGTTTTGTTTTTTGTTTTTTTTTCTTAAGACAGAGTCTTGCTGTTGGAGTGCAGTGGCATGATCACGGCTCACTGCAGCCTCAACCTCCTGGGCTTTCTGCCTCAGCCTCCTGAGTGTCTGGGACTACAGGCATGCACCACCACACCTGGCTAATTTTTATTTTTCTTTTCTTTATTTTTATTTTTGTGACACAAGGTCTAGCTATGTGCTAGGTTGCCCAGGCTGGTCTCGAACACCTGGGCTCAAGCAATCTTTCCACCTTCACCTTCCAAAGTACTGGGATTACAGGTGTGAACCACGGTGCACAGCCTCTTTGGATTTTTAATGAGAATGAGAATTAGGCAGTGTTGTAAGAATTAGCAGCTGTATGTAAAGCACCTGGCATTTGTTACATTCTTGCTAAGTAAATGTTGGTTGGAATTGCTGATTAGAGCTGCTGGGCTTTACAGCTTTTGAACTTCTTCTGACAGTGACTTGTCTCCACTGATGGCTTTGGTTACATGTACACTCTGTTGGTTCTTCTGCCAGCTCATTGATTATTCTCCTTTTACTACTTGCTGGCTTCTCTTTCTACCCACACTCTGCTAACATACGCATTCCGTGCCTTTCTCTTCCGTTCTGTGCTTTTCACTGGTCAGTCTCGCCCACTGTCATTTCTTAACTTGTACACCTGGACATCTTCATCGGTGTCCCCAGCCTCCCTTCCGAGTGCCAGCCACCCCTCCCCCAACCAAGCAGTCAGTCATTAATCGACAAATGCTTCCACAGCCATTGCCTGTGCCAGATGCTGGGGTTAGAGCCGTCAACAAGTCAGATGTGGTCCTGCCATTGTAGAGTAGAGAAGCCAGATGAGGGGGAACCCCCCCCCAATCAAAAATTGTCTTTTGGTGGGCAGGCCCCTCGTAGTACAGGCTTCCCCTGCTAGGTAAGTGTTCTGGGAACCTGTCAGCATCAGTGTACCAGCTAGCATTGTTCTGAGAGGCTGTGTTCGGCAGTGAATTTTTTTTCAACACGTTTGCCCCTTTCCTGATGGGTGATTTATGAATGCACCTGTCCACACCACGCTGCGTGTTCAGCAGTTTTTGACCAGACACAGCATGACCCCCCACGCCCCACCCTCCCTAGTTACCTAATCTCACCTCGAGTGACTTTTTTTTGGTTTCCCCAAGAAAACAAGTCCTCAGAGGGAAACGTTTTGCCGAAGCGGGAGAGGTGAAACAAAACACAGCAGAAGCACTAGAAGGCATTCAAATCGACAAGTTCAAAAACTGTTCTGAGCAGTGGAAACGCATCTCTATAGGTGTATTGCATCACATGGAGAGTCCTTGGAAGGTGACTGAAGTTGAAACATTCAAGAATACATACATTATTTCTTATAAATAAGCTTTGGGGTTTTTTGGGTCTCCCTTGGTATGTCCAGCAAGTAAACCACCTGGTGAAACCCCTTCTCCCGTGTTAGGGAAGAGCAGAGCAGTAACCTCACTTAGAAACAGCCGGCTGCTGCCAGTAAAGCTGAGACTGGAAAGCCAGGTGGGAGTTAGCTGGGCACAGGTGGATGGAACCGAAAAGAAGGAGCACTCCATCTGAGGGAGAGCATATGGGGGGACACTGAGGCAGGAGCCAACACGGCGTACCTGAGGAGCTGAACCACGATCATGCGGCTGCAGAGAACACCGCAAACTTTTAAGCCGTTCTCGCGTATTCTCCCATGTAACCATCATAACCATCTTGGAGAGTTGCTATTAACATTATCCCCATTTCGTAGATGAGTAACGGGGGCAAACAGAGATGCAGTGACTTCCACAAGGTTGCGATGTAGTGAATGTGGAGCTGAAATTCAAACCCACAGTCTGCCAGCTCCAGTCCAGACCTTTGCATGGCCTAGATGTGTCAATTCAAGTCGAAGTGTGGTCATTTTACAGTTCAAACGCCTTTGCAGTTTTTCAGTGTCTTCAGAGGGAACCCCAAAGTGGGAATCTCAAAGCCTTCAGTAACCTGGCCTCACTTTATTTTCGGTCTCATCTCCATTTCCCTGCCTCTGCCTTGCCCACCTCCAGCCTCTCTACTATGTGTGCAGTAGCCACACCCTGCCACCGGCTGTGTCCTCCAGCACATGGTTGTCCCTGCCTCTGTCTTGGTTGTGCCAGCAACACAAGCTTTCCCCTCCCTCCTTTCTTGCTAAAGCCCAGGTCCCTGTCCCTTCCCCGGCGCTCTGCTTCCTCCTGATGATTTAACTCTTCTGTCCTCAGCACCTGGCTAGTGAGGAGGGGGCAGTGTGTGATGTGAGGTGGCGGAAAGTGCTGGGGCTTTGGAGTCAGACTACCCAATCTCAGCTCTACCACTTCCTAGCTAAGGAGCTGAACCATGCTCTTGCTTCAGGACCACTTTCTCCAGCCTTCTAAGCCTCCCATCCCTCGTTGATAGAACTGGCATCATATTTTCCTTGCAGGGTTGGTGTAGAAAGCCGTTAGGCCAGTATCTAGCATATAGTAATGAACAAAAAAGCAACTATTAACCATCATTAACGCACTCACTATGTGGTGCTGTACAAAGAGAATTATAGAAAGGGTATTTTCTTGGGCTCCTTGGAATAAATGTTATTCTTTTACTGTATTCTAGAATATCGTTCAAAAACTTAATTACTTATTATAATAATGGAACATGCATGAATATTAAAATAGCCTGCTCTCTTTTAAAATCTCCTAGCCATGGTGGAAGGAGCCCCACAGCTAAACATGGTTGGCCTCTTTCGACGAATAATTTCCAAAGAAGGAATCCCAGGACTCTACAGAGGCATCACCCCGAACTTCATGAAGGTGCTCCCTGCCGTGGGCATCAGTTATGTGGTTTACGAAAACATGAAGCAAACGCTGGGAGTAACCCAGAAATGATAGTTGCAGTTTTGGCCTTAGCATGATGATGATGGAAATCGTCAGCAATCCCTGGTGTGACTTTTTCTCCAGAAATTGCAACAAGTCTGTGGTGAATGAAGCTGTATTTTTATTTTTTCATAAAAGGGAAGCGCGTAACTGATCACTTCAAACATTTGGGCTCCATTTTATATATACAGAATGTTACAAATCATAGTTTTAATGAGTTTTGAAAAGACCTCAAGACTGTACTTTATTTTTTCTTGTGAGTCTTTCTGCAGATCTCTGCCCTGAATCCTAAATCTGAAAATGTACTTGCTTGAAAATGTTTTGTGTGGTAGAATTATAAATCATCTATCTTTACTTTGGTTGGTTCAAGTGTATATGCCAATTCCTTTAGACTTAAATGTCTTGTTTTATCTGTTTTGAATGTCTTTATAGACTTCTTAACATTTCTTTGTGAACCATTAATAGAAAATTATTGCTTTTAAAATATCCCTGACAGTAGCCACATAAGCGTAGGGTTTATATCCTTAGGTTTCTTTAAACTGAACAATAATGAACATATGTGACAGAAATTTGTAAGGAGTGATTAAATAATACTTATTTCAGCGGGTACTTTTTCATTTTACCTGCATTGTTATTTGGTTCCTGGAATTAGATGCTGATTTGCAGTATATTGCTGTTAAATTCCCAACACCAGACAACTTGTTTGAAAGATTCTGTTTATTCTGTCATGACTTTGAAAAGTAGCAGGAAACAAAAACCCCTCGACTTGTGTGGGCTTCTGAAGAGTTCTTTTTTCTTGGTGTTTTGTTTCCTCCTTTTTGAATCAGATTCTCTTTTAATCAGGAAGGTGTCTTGGGACCATTCTTAGTCATCTGAAATGTCTCTTTCATTACATGAAGTGGGTTGACCATGGGCGAATGACACGCTTAGTCCCCCTCACTGCTGAATTTCTTTGAACCTGACCCCCTCAACTTGGGCAGCGCCAAGCTGAGAGTTGCTTGTGAAGAGTCACAGGTATTGCCTTGTGCATGGATACCTGTCTTCAGATGCAAGGCCCCATCTGTGAACAGGCACATTTGCATTCTCTCTTGCCCCAAGTTTTAAGGACACGTTATGATTTGGAAAACTTAATTTATAATAGTGATAGCATTTTTTATTTTACTAAAGCCCTATTTGTAGTCAGCTGTCTTATTTGTGTGATTAGAAATTAGAAAAATATTTATTAGTTGAAATGATTCTTACCATTTTTTTAGTTTAGTTCCTAAACTTGTTAGATTTCTAATAATTTCTCTAAATTGCCAACATTTTAATGAAAATCTAGTGACATAATAGGCCTTTGCTTTATTTGAACCTACCTCTTTTATTTTCTGAACCAAAGAGAAAAGATGAATTTGTATTTGTGAAATATCTTCAAACATATAGTTTTAGATTAGTTATACCTGATACATAGCTCAATATTTTTATATGATAAGCATGGGACTCTATCTTGGGGGTTATATGTACTTCTGAGTAATGCATACAGTGGCAATATTAAGGTACATGACTAGCCATTTCTGTTTTTACTCATAGAAATTATGGAAGTGAATAATTTTGTTATCGTGTTTGAAATTTCAGACTGCTGGAAAATAGTCATTATTCATGAATTTAAATTGTTCCCCATTGAACATTTGTAAGGTATGAATGTGATTTGCCTGTGCATCTTGTATCTTTTGAAAAAAGTGATTTTATGTCTTTTGGAAAAAAGCCCAGAGTTGAAAATAGTTTATTTCTGGCACTACTGCATATTTACTTGCAGTTTTTATTAAAAAATAAATGTGTTTTTGACTTATTTTCTAATTTTTCCTTTTTTTGAGAAAAATTTTAAGTCTCAGTTTCTTAATTAAAAAAAAAACTATAAATAAAGCAAAAACTGTCCATGCCCTACAGCTTAGGTAGCTTAGCTCTTTGGTGGTGGTTTGAATGGTTTTTACATCTGGCTGCATATAGTCCTTCCAAATATTTTGGTCATTCCTAAGCAGCCATTGTAGAGATCATATGATGCATTTTGGCATAAGCTAATGTTTTTAGTGCTATCCAAATTCAGCATTTATCAATTATAGTTGATCACTGGGGGCTCACAGTGCCAAGGAGAGTCCAAAGCCACAGATTTAACTAGAAACATCTTGTTGAGGAAGATTGTCTTGAAATTGTGGGAACTCTCAGATGAGTTTACGGCTGAGGAATGTAAAAACAATTTTATAATGCAGATCACAAGTACAAAATTTGATTAAAAAAGAAAACTCAAGACTGCAGAGAAATTCTGCATTCCAACTCTAAGACTACCCAGAAATGATGCCTCCGCCCTCCTCTCTTCCCAGGCACCCTTTTTTATAGAAAAATGCTGCTGGATTTCCTTCTGGCCCCCTAATCTTGCTTCCCCATCAAGAGGGTGAACGTCATGCAAACCCAGATTGTGCTTTACAGGAGTTTGTCTTTGAGCTTCACATCGGATCACGGGTGTAAAGGCGTGGGCCTGGTTTCCTCAAATAGGAATTTTGTTCTTGTGAGATCTTCTTTGAGAAGGCACCAAGAAGGACATTGGTGGCAGGGGAGCAACCCGCAGCCCCTCCTCTCCTCTTTCGCCATTGCAGGAGGAAGCGTGGCCTGGTCCAAGCTCACTTGGGTCACCCTCCAGGAGAATACCCCTGCAGCGTTCCCTCTGCCCGTCCTCTTCCATGCAGGACAGAGCTGTGAATTCCAGACTGCCTCACCCCGCCCCTGCTCCTCACTGACCCCTGTGTCCGTGAAGACACCTGTTCATAACTGTTGGTGGCATCCGGGAGGTTTAGCAAGTAATCATGTTCTCAGATTGTCCGTGGGCCCCAAAGTCCTGGACTCAGACGCTCAGCCACAGGCGCTATAGTGTTCTCTGTGAATGCAGAAGTGTCAAGCCCAGGCCACTTCAGTATTTATTCCACCAGCATTCACTCACTCATTTGCTCTTGCAGTGAGTATCTATTAAGCACCTGCGATGTGTCAGACACTATTAAGGCCAGAGGACATAGCATTGAACAAAGACTCAGTACCTCTAGTGGGGAGAGAGAGAGACAATAAACCAAATAAAATACATACTATGTGTCTGACGTAAGGCAGGGCTGGTTCTGGGGCTGTGATTTTACATAGAGGGTGCCAAAAAAAATACACATTTTAAGAAAGGAAGACACTAGGAAAATGATAATACTCAATAAGATGAATACAAGTCATGTTTGAATTCTACAGTTACAAGAGGTGCTCAAAGTGGTGCCCATCAACATCTAGACACTTCTGATGACAGTGAACGCAGGACTTGCTGTTGTGCGAGGCCTCCTGGACTTTCTCTTGTGCACTATATACACAGCACCGTGCATTTCACACTCATCACGCATGCGTGCGGTTGTCAGGCATGTGGGAGGTTCTGTGCATATTCACACCTCCTCGTTGTACTTCTGCAATGTTCTCGAATTTCAAATACCCCTTCAAAATAGTCTTGAGCTCCTCAAAAGACAACCAGGCTTCTGCCATTTTCTTTGGCTGTCCTGCCTGTTGCATGGTGACAGTGGCATTCATTTGATGTGTCTTCTTTTGAGTGAATGTCATACTACTGTAACCCATTCAACTTTGAAAAGTTATATATAGATGACGTCTCTTAAAATGTGTATACATTTTTTAGCACCCCTGGTAGAGAAAGCCGCACTGAGAAGGCAAGATGATAATAACAAGCTAGTAAACTTTTTTTGTTTTTTTTAGTCAGGATCTCACTTTGTCCCCCAGGCTAGGGTGCAGTGGTATGATCAAGACTCACCACAGCCTCAGCCTCCTGGACTCAGGAGATCCTCCTGCCTTGGCCTCCCAAAGTGCTGGGATTATAGGAACGAGCGACTGTGCTTGGGTCAAACGAGTGATTTGCACTTTGTTACTCCAGAAAGAGGCTGGTCTGCCCAGGGGTCTCAAGGCATCTGAAGGAACCGTTTCAAATCTCTGCTTATCACACTAGATGGAGTCCCTAGTGTGAGTCCCTAGTGTGTCTCCCAAGAGTTTACATGCCTCTCTTTACACCACTTCTGCAGCACGGTCTGGCCATGGGCTCAAGATGAAGTGGCCGAGTCCTGGACCCCGAGATCAGTTCTGCCGCATCACCTGGCCAGTCTTTGCCACCCTGCAGGCATCTTAGTGCCCCAAATGGGACGTGCAAAATGTAACATTTGCTTATTTTCTTTACATCAATTTAAATCCAGCTGGAAGCACACCACTCTGTATTGTGCCAGTGCCCTGAGGTGTTGGCCTCTCAGAACACTGGCCATGGTCTGCACCAGCCACGGCCAAGGGGCCCTTGGTTCCAGAGGCTGTGCCGAGCTTGGAATGGGAACAGGTGGGAAGACGTGGGCGTCTGGGCCTGGGGCCTGGCCTTTCCATCCGAAAGCTGAGAAGTCAAATGAGGGTCTTTCCTAGGCTTGGGACCCACTAATCTTTCTCCTTCCCAAACTCTGACTCACCATTTTTCCTCTTCGCTCTTAAAAGTGTCCCTCCCCTCCTCCCTCTGAGACCCCGTCATCCTCTGTGCTGGTAACTTAGGCATTTGCAAAAGACAGAGGAGACTTCGATCTAAAGCAGGGGTGTCCAACCTTTTGGCTTCCCTGGGCTGCATTGAGTAAAGAGGAATTGTCTTGGGCCACAGGTAAATTGTATAATATAGTTACTGTATATCCAAAATAAAACTTTTTTTATTATAAAGTTTAGAAAAAAATGAGAACAATATAAAACTAGTGGGAAATTTGACCTTGTTTTTGTAAAACTAATCTATCGATGTCTGGTTCAATGGACATGCTTACAGTTCTTAGTGAGTTCTCCAGGTGCTCGTCAGAAACGTTTGTTCAAATTTTGCTCTCATGTGCTTCATGACTGGGACCAACTGCTCAGTAATGTATGTGCTGCCAAAAAGTGATGTCATAAGATATGATTTTGAACTTCAAAAATGGAACTATGCATAGGGTCACAAAGAAATGCTCAAAAACACAATAATAACAAGCAGTAAACTTTTTTTTGTTTTTTTAAGTCAGGGTCTCACTTTGTCACCCAGGCTAGGGTGCAGTGGCATGATCAAGGCTCACCACAGCCTCAACCTCCTAAGCTTAGGAGATCCTCCTTTCCAGGAGGTTCTTTATGACTGTATCATATAAATGCTAAAAACAAACGCGGGACCTCATGACTAGCTTTCCTGGGCTGCATGCGGCCATGGGCTATGAATTGGACATGCCAGCTCTCAAGTCACCTCTGTCTTCCACTTTAAACAATCACGGAGGGAAGGAATGCTACAGGCCTGACCCCTGGCCTGAAATGGGATGGAAGGGAAGATAAGGGCGAATAAATACAAATCAGCATTTGACTTGATTTTCTGGCTGTTGGCTCTCAAACTCTTCCCGTCTCCCGGTGCTGTGTCTCAGGAGGAAGCCTTGGACCACACAGCCATGGTCTCAGCACAGGGAAGGGTTGTTGGTTTTGTTTTAACATAAACAGATAATTCCACCTACTGAGTCTTCAGATCCCACAGTTTTATTTGCATATGGCAATGTAGTTTCACAGCCAGACAGTTCCACAGAGCTCCCATACAATCCAGCAATCCTCTCCTGGGAATATACACAGAGGAACATAAGTTGCTCTACCAAAAAGGCACCTGCTTGTGCGCGTTTACTGCTGCACTATTCACAATAGCAAAAACTTGGAATAAACCCAGGTGCCCATCGAAAGCAGACTGGTTAGAGGAAATGTGGTACATATACACGCTAGGATACTACACAGCCATAAAGAACAAAATCATGGCCTTCACAACAACTTGGGTGTGGTTGGAGACCAACATACTTAAGTGAACTATCACAGAAACAAAGAATTGAATACCGCGTGTTCTCATTCATAAGCAGGCTCTGAACACTAGTCACACTGGCACAAGGGTGGGATTGGCAGTCGTGGGCACGACTAGGGGAGGGAAGGAGAAAGAAGGGAGCATGTGGCAACACAATGGGTACCTAGTCCACTACCAGGGGGGGAGCCAGCTACAAGCCCAAATTTCACCAGTATGCAGCCTGCTTACGTTGCAAACCCTCACTTGTACCCCACAACTCTAAAGTAAAAAATTTAAAACGTCAACTATATGATTGAGAGTTGATACTTTCCACGGGCCTTAGAAGGAGACCGGACATATAGGAGAGGGATGAATTAGTTGGAATGCTGAGAAGAATGGTGAAATCACGGGGCGTCTAGAGCCGTTTCTAAGTCTTTTGTTTTTGGGTGACTTAGTGAATATGAGTATAAGCTCTCAGAAGACATGACTGATAAGGAGCAAATGTAGAACTGTAGGTAAAAATTAGCCAGGTGTGGTGGCGTGTATCTGTAGTCCCAGCTACTTGGGAGGCTTAGGCAGAAGGATCGCCTGAGCTCAGGAGGTCGAGGCTGCGGTGAGCCGTGATCATGCCACTGCATTTCAGAGTGAGACCTCGACTCAAAAACAAACAAAAAATGCAGATAAAATCGATGAGTCACATACTTGAGATGCTTACAGTAGAAGAATCTGGTAGAAAATGACAGGAAGACGTTTTAAAGTCTGCCTTTGTGTGATCCTTGATTTTCCTCTGGTTTTGGTCCCCTCTCACTTGTAAAGATGTCCTCTCTTGAGCGAGATGGAAAGTCTTCTTTAAGATGTGTTAAGGGGAGGAAAAAGTAAGTGAATGAAAACTTACTATAGTTTGAAATTTTTGCTATTTATATATATTTTTTAAATTTAAAAATTTTTAATTTTAAAGATGTGGGGTACAT